ACTAAACCCAAAATGGGTGTAACTGTCAATATCTAAATTAGTATACTAAAATTTTTGTAATGAGTACTCTTATTATAAAAAACTAGTAATCTTACTAAAAAATTTATAATCTTAGTATAAAAAATGACAAAATGATTTTCTCCCTCGTTTCTTCACTAAAACCACAAAATGAGTATAATTGTTTTTGTAGATGTACTATATCGAAACTAGTATCATATTTAGTATCAATAGATACTCAGACAAGAAATGACATCTCAATTTTCTCGTGTTTTTGCAAAATAATGACAGTACATAATGCACTAACTCATTTTTTAGGAAACTCAAAAAACAAAGTTTTTAGACATTTTCAGTGATTTTTTAAGAACTTTTAAGGCCAAATCCCTCTAATTTGGCTCCGTCTCCAATCCAGACTGCCAATCCACTGATCCGACCCTGTTTTCTAGATGGATGATACGAGTCACCGCTCCGTTTTTTAAAACCTTGGTTCAGACCTCAAAAGACACCAAATTTACAAAGGAAACCCCAAGAAATCCATGTCCGAATGGGCTAAAATTTTATGGGAAGATATGCCTTATTTTAAGAAGCTTAAGTTCCAAATTTGAGCTCAATGCGTTATCATGAAGTGCCATTTTTTTAGGAGATCTCTAACAGATCACGGGTTTCAAATGAATAGTCCATAGTGTGGCCATTGGCTAGCAGTGGATGAACAATTTCCAGCAATTTGACTAGTTTACCTGGCCATAAAGTTTTGAACATATCTGACAAACCCCATATCAAAATGAGCTGGAGCTTTCCATCCAATTTATATATCAAAGCATGTCCTTTCATGGATCACGACTGGATCAAATAAAAATGTATAGGATCAAAAGCATAAGCATGTGTAGTAGTCCCTATGGACTAGAACCACCTTTGATCAATATCTCACAATCCATGGAGTGTTTGGCTTTGAAATTTTGTAGATGTGATCCTCACTCATCCCCCTCAACATCAATATCATTTCTTATAGGGTTAGAAATAAGATTGGGGGTCGGATTGAATTGAGAAGTTGCCTACAATGTGAAGACTGCTGAATTTTGGAAGTAGGGCCAATAAAATGATTATTACTCCTTTGATTCTTAGAGTTTTTTATCCAAACTTGTCCTCAAATGCTTTAGGGATGATTCCCTACAGTTTTGTAGGGATGTATCATCAAATAAATGGCAAATATTGGGTGAAATGAGAAGAAATTAAAAGGAAGCATAGAAGTTCATCAAGTTTGATGCCAAATGCACAAAAATGATCATAACCCCCTCAAATCTCTGGAGTTTTTTTATCTAAATTTGTTGCAACATGATCGTGGGGAGTTGTTTTACAAAATTATGGAGCAAAATCCAGCAAATATCAATGAAAAGTTCATCAAGGGATTGTATGAAGGCATGTGAGTTCTAGCTCTCCTAGGGCACTTCATGATATTTTCTCAACTATGGGCCTAACCAACTTGCCCTTTAGGAAAAGCTAGAAATTGTTTTGATTATCCACCCACCTGAGCCCAAAACTAAGCATCCACCCATGTTTCACAAATCCTCTCTATAAAAGCCCATCAACCCTCATTTTTAAGGGGTTAGACATTCAGAGAGAGAAGAGCATAGGATTGCCAATTAGGAAATTAGGAGAGAGAAACTAACCTAGAGTGAGAAACAAAATCCTCTACCTAAACTATCCCTAATTCAAATCACAAATTCCAAACACCAAAAAAAATTACCCAAAATCCTAGAAAGTAGATAGGATTTAGACTAGTAAAAACAACTCTAGAGAAAATCGACATGTTAGGATATGGACATTTCAGGTTCATATTTTGATATACATCATTATGGATGTATGGGTATATATCTCTTGATAAGATTAGGTATCTAGAAGATAAGAAGAGACCAAGTCAAAGTTACTTGGTCATCAAGTTATCATACCATATTTATCTCTTTTAATTGTGTGATCGTCCTCTATATATAGAGGTAGTCATCAGAGCAAGGTTCTGTCTCGATCAATTTTTTTTATGACTCCGTATCAAATCTATCCCAATTGTCGGGAAAGATGTACTCCCTTCATTTTGCAACTCTTGCGGTAAAGAGGAGAGCATATCCCACCAGACGACTCCTTGGAAGTTGCACGGAAGATTAAAGAGATGTACTATTATAGTTGTTTTGACATTGTCAAGGAGTTTGGCAAACATGACAGAGAACCATCAAAATACATTAAGCAGTGGACTGGAATCAAAACAAAGACTGGTGCACCATACTCATGTGACATTGGCTATGAACGTTTTTTACCTTCTGTTATAGACAAGTGCATCCAATCATCTACCATTGATACAAGGCGGGCTTTATACAAGAACATAGTATTATCTGGAGGGTCTACAATGTTTAAAGGCTTCCATAGAAGGTTGCAGTGGGATATAAAGAAGATTGTGGATGCTCGCATAGCTGCATCTGTTGCTCGACTTGGCAGAGACACAAAATCTCAGGCAATTGAAGTCAACGTTGTTCGCCATCCTATCCAGCGGTTTGCAGTTTGGCTTGGGAGCAGACATGCACAGACATTGAATGGAGAATGGAGAGAGAAGAAGAGAGAACACAATATTTACGTGGTTCAGGCCGAAAGCCCAACTGGCTACATCTTCACTATTTTGGATGAATGTTTACATCAATAAGTATATCTCTATGTAGAGGATGATCACACAATTAAAGGAGATAAATATGATATGATAACTTGATGACCGAGTAACTTTGACTTGGTCTCTTCTTATCGTCTAGATACGTAATCTTATCAATAGATATATACCCATACATCCATAATGATGTCTATCAATATGAACTCGAGATATCCATATCCTAACATTCCCCTTCAAACTCAAGATGTTTTGACACAAAGCAGCTGGAGTTTGAACAATACTAAGTTGCCAAAAATGAGTAGTGATCTTCAGATTGCTTGAACAATAAAAACGAGTAGTGATCTTCAGATTGATCATATTGCTTGAACAACAAGCACACATTGCAACAAGCCTCAAGAACAAACGGCTTCAAGAATCAAATAACAAAAAAACTCCATCCACAATAGACAAACATGCATTTGGAACGTCTGAGATCGAGCAAGAAAATACTCGATCAATAACAGACAAACAGGCTTTCAAAATTTTGAGGATCGAATAACGAAAAACTCGATCAATAGACAGGATCGAATAACGGAAAGAGATTTGATCATCTCATAGGATGGGGCAACGAAAAACTCCATCATTCAATAGGATTGAGTAACGAAAATCTCAATCATTGACCATATGCATTCGGAACAGACAGGATTGAGTAAACTCGATCATCACATAGAATGGAGTAACGGAAAGCTCCATCATTAAATAGGATCAAGTAACGGAAAATTTGATCATCAACCAGGATCAAGAAATTCGATCATCAATAGGAGGCCTTTTTTTTTTTTTTGAGAACAACTCCAAAACAAAAAGACTTTTGGCACCAACCATGTGCACAGAATAATAACAAAAGAATTCAGACCTTTTAGATAGAGAAAGAGTGTGTTCTATGAATCAAGACCAAAAACAAAGATCAAGAGAGAGAAAGTCGATATCTTTAGAGCAGGTCTTTGGCCGGAAACCTGTGGTGATAAGACCTTGCCGGGGAAGGTCTGTCGGCACTGACATTGAGACAGGCCGTCTCTTTTTCCTGTGTCGAGCAAGGCGGGGCCATATTCCTCCGAGACACCTTGGCATTGAATCCTCCTTCCATGTGCTCACCATTGATCTGGACAGCTTGGCCTCCTTTAGTGAGTGTATAGATTGGTGGGCTAGGCAGCCACAGCCCAATTTGGGAGATTTATGAGCCCCCCCTCCGAAACACCCAAAAAAAGAAGAAAAACACACACACACACAAAAGAAAAAAACGGAAAATAAAAGAAGAAAAAAGAAAAATTGTAAGTAGTTTTATACTTTAATAAAATTGAAGTTGTATTCCTTTGTGTGTGTTTGCATTGGTTTTTGCCTTCAAAATTCTGAGTCAAAAAATCCAAAACCCACAAATCACACATGTACACAAAAAGGAGCACATCACATTACTTTCTGGCAATATAAAGTTGTTCGCATCCTGGAACTTTCTCAACAGAGAGAAGGGAAGGAGGCCACACCATTAATGCAGTTCACTTTGTTGTCTTCTCCGTCTCATTCTTCCCTCAATTCTTTTCTTTCTTCTTCTACTATTCTTTTCTTGCTCGTCTCTTCACCCATTTTGGCTTTAAAGCCTAGAAAGGCCTCTCTTTTTTGGAGCTGAGAATCGAGGCTCTCTCTCACTAGAGATGCAATTAACTGTTGGATCCTAAGATCAAGATGCAAATGGTTCACCTGTATTCTCTCTACCTTTTCCTTAGAATCAACTTCTGGACCTTTACAACTCACACTCCCTTCGATGTTTCGTGTAGTCTACTTGTCACTAATCTCTAATCTTGAGGGAATATTTTCATCTGTGCTGACTAAAAAGGAATAACATCTTATTGAAATGGCAAATCTGGAATCTATTTACTGGAAAGAAGCTGTGTAACTGCAGGTTTTTCTTTCTTTCATTCTTTTTTTCTTTTTCTTTTTTTATTTCTTTCTTTGTTTTTGTTTTTGTTTTTTTTTTTTTTTGATTTTTTTGTTTTTTTTTTTTGTGCTGAAGATTCAGATATTAAAGAGTTAATATTCCTCAAAAAAAAAAAAAAAAGACTGTTATGAGTTCAAGGTTAGCAGCCTTTGTCAATTTCAGAATACGTTTCTGAAATATGAGATTGCCTAGTCCATTGAGAGTAAAACTTAATTATGAATATTTGGTTATAGGGCAAACGCAGCACTACCAATTGACTGGGACTATTTGCTCAAAAAAGGAAAAAAATGCAATTGACTGGGACCGTGACTATTCACTTCTTTTCATGCAAGTAGTATAAAGTATTAAAGGGGCATTTTACTAATGTATTTGTATTTTCCTTTGTAGCAACGTTGTCATAAGATATGTCACTGTTTTGGCCCCACCAGACTCGCCCAACACAGATGGGATTGACCCAGGTATGTGAAGGCATATACAGTTTAATAAGTAAAAAGAAGGGCATGTATAATATGATTCATATGCTTGTGATAACATGACGTAGTGGTTATCACTGAATGGGTTGGACGATGACAGAGTGAGTCCCACCAAGCATGCCATTAATTCATCTGTTTGTTCAACTGTCCCTTCATCACCATCCAGAGCGTGTCCTTTGAACTGATAGTTTTACATGGTCATGTTGCTCTCATGACCATATGTCATATTTTTCCAGGACAGAACTGAAGCCAAACTGGCTCGTTTGCATGCTGGACCAGCTTCTGGCTTTGGTGTCTTGGTTTTCTAGTCCTGGGACATGTGTAGAGCTCAATTTTTCTTTTTGTTTGAATGTTGTGGAAATTTTGATAACTTTAGCATATGTTCTGTATGCTTTAATTAGTATTAGCTATCCATTTCTACGCCAGACAGCTCATGTGAACTGTTCAACAGATAGTTCGCATTAACTGTCCTTTGTTGACAAATGGATACCTGGAGTTACTTAATCATGAACAGATTGACTCTAATATCATGATGTGCTTTCCCCTTTCTGTTATTATGAAAACAAAAATACATATTTTTTTCTTGGGTAAGTCATACAATCTGGCAAAGAAAACAAAAATTGACTTCTGGTGTAGGGTTTTGGCCCTGTTTTCGAAAAAAAAACTGCATATATGTCTAGGACCAAGGCTTGGTCAATAATAGCCCCAATTCAAATGTTACAGTCTAATGCATTACCCTGGTTTTAAAAAATCAGACCAAATTTATCAGTTTTTCTTATTCGAGCCAGAACTGGTTCTTATTTTTCTGCTTCTCAAACCAGAATATAAAAATTCAATCTCTCGTTTCTTTACTAATTCTTCTCAAATTTGTAACAAATTGTCATCTCATGTTGATCTACAATGGCCCCCCAAGACATTTTTGGATCAAACAGATTTTTGGTGATATTGGAACCCCATGATCTGCCATTTCTTGGATTTCTCCCTAATTTCTCAAATGAAATTTATGCAATTTGTGTAAAAAAAATCAACTATATTGGAGCCCTCAACAGATATGTAACATAGTGTCTTCAATCAAACACTGTGTTCAAAGAGATCTAGCATCAAAAGTTTCAGCTGTTATTAAAAAGAAAACCTCGGGTGTTTAAAAATATCATATATTTCAACATTTTGTTAGTTTTCTTGTTTAGAGAGTGTAATTTTCAATGTACAAAGGTATGACGTGATTTAAAACAATAATTTTGGAGATTTCAAAATTTTCATTTATTATTATCTGAAAAATGTTTTTTGTTGTCGAGAGTGGTCTTCAATATGCAACAGTTAATGCATGATTTAAAACAATATTTTTGGTTTAATTTTTCTTAGTTTTTTCACTCTCTTTTTTTTCTTTTTTTCGATTGTCATCTTTTTTTTCTGGGTCCATACAGACATCTTGAGACCTGTCAAGTTCGCTGAGTTGGCTGTGCCCAGGTTGAAACAACTGGTGGGTGTCATTTTTCCACCCAATGGGTCTAACTGTTGAAACACTGTTGGCACTACCACTAGTTTTACAAACCACTTTCGAAATGAACTCACTAAAAATTTTACTGTGTAAAACTCTCACTTTCCTAACAATCAATTTCCTTAAAACACCAACGTGAGTCCACTCTGTTGCCTGTTACCGAGAGTGAGAGTAATGGACCTCACAGAGATTTTGTATTACCAAACTCAGTTGGAGAACCTAAAGAGTCTTTGGGCCTGGCTGGGTGTCCGCAGATTCAAGCTCGAATATGTGCATTGAGGATAGCTACATCAGTACTGGGGATGACCTCGTGGCCATAAAGAGCGGTTGGGATGAGTACGGCATTGCGTATGCGCGCCCGAGCTCCTTCATCACCATCCGCCGCATCTCTGGCTCCTCGCTTGCTTTTACTGGCATTGCCTTTGGCAGTGAAACCTCTGGTGGTATCTCGGACATCGTTGTTGAGAATATAACCCTTGTCAACACTGCTACTGCCATCTTCCTCAAGACCAATGCCGGCCGTGGGGGCTACATCCGAAATATCACTGTGAGAGGCGTGCATTTGGAGAATGTGACGAAAGCCATAAAGTTTGCAGGGGATGTTGGGGACCACCCAGATGACAAGTACGATCCTAGGGCACTGCCTGTGGTGGAGGGGGTGAGTATCTCAGATGTTTGGGGAGTGGGTGTGATGCAGCCGGGGTCGATGAAAGGGATTAATGGGGCGCCATTCAAGGGGATCTGCCTGTCGAACGTGAATCTTTATGGGTGGGTTCCGGGGGCTCAGTGGAAGTGCACTGATATCAGTGGGGTCGCACTTGGGGTGCGCCCATGGCCTTGTGCGGAGCTTGCAGCTACTCATGGGACTGGTGCATGTTCACTCCGTGTCCTGAGCTGAGACCTGGTTTTTTTGTGGTCTTCGTATGGGATGGATGGTTTCTGAAGGGTCTTTCCTCTTTGTTAAAGAGTGTTTCTCCCTTCCATTTCGGCTGGGTTGGGGCTCGCACCCTGCTCATTCGTGTGATAATTGAATTTATTCTCTCTTTCTCTGTGAGCCCATTTGACTTTGTTTGTATCATTATTGAACTCTCTCGGGTCTCGATTGTATGAATTCTTAAAGTTCTATTTTGCATTAGGCTCAGTTCTCAACACAGTTCTCAACAAGTGTATTAATTATTTGGTTTGGAGTTGCAACATGGTAAGAGAGAATTTACAGCGTAATTCTTTTAAGAGTCCCTCGTAAATTTCCAAGGAAAGATGCTGTTTGTCGGGTGTTACTCTACGTTATTTATTTCATTCTTCTTCTCATTTCTCATGTTTACTTCCTCTGGGGATTATTTTCCCAAGGTCTCCTATTCTTTCTCATCGATATCCATTTTTTGCAGTGTTTGTGAACTGAAGAAAAGGGCAAAGCAGCAGGCCTTTTTTTAAAAAATTTTTATTTTTATTTTTGTTTATTTTTATTTATTTATTTATTTAAAGTTCACCGCAGGTCTATGTTTTTTTTTTGGAGAATATAAAGAAAAGCATTTGTCCCATCCAAAAGTAACCACACACCAGTTGAGCACCACAGGGGCTTGTGTGATAGACATGCGTAATCAGTCAAATTGTTCGAGCTGTACGCTGACTTTCAATTTCTTAAATTTATATAAATTATTTTTAACATTAGAACACTTAATGAGAATGTTAAAAAATGTTATGATTCTTGTTTTTATACCCCCACAATTTATCCCCCAAAAAAACGGAACGGGTAATCTAATTCAGCATATACAAGAAGAAAACTTTATTTATCAGGATTAAATAGTGTATAACTGAAGTTGTTTTAACTTGACATGCCATATATTGTTGTCAAATAATTTAAATATTTCCTAAACAAAATACTAATGAAAAACATTCGAATAAAAATAATATGGTATTTCTGACTAGAGCGCAGCACTTTTGAAAAAAAAAAAGAAAGATGAAATTAATAAATCCGAGGTCTTTTCTGAAATGTTTGAAAATATGTTACATCCTTTTCATAGATGTGTTAATTCTCAATCTCTATGTTGTAATAGACAAACGCAAGTTGTAAATCCCTTTAGAAAATGAAACAATTGCAAAATGTTTTTCAATCTTATTTAAATTGATAGATTATTTTATGGACAACTTTAATTAAAATTAAAAAAGTTTAGTATCCTTTCTAAAATTTTGGAAGGTATTATATTGCTTATTTTCAAACATGTTAAATTTTTTAGCACACTAATATTACTAAAATATTCCTAAAAACGTGTCAACCTCTGAAATCTTATTCTTTTTTCATATCTATACATCTCGAGATGATAAATTAGCGATTTCGAGATGATGAATTAGAGGGTTTTCGAACATCAAAATAGCCCTTTGCGATGGATTTTGTGGTGCACCTTAGTTCTACAGTTTAAGGTTGTAACCTTATATAAACTTTTCCCTTATTAAGTTAGTATAATCATTTTTTAAAATGATTTCATAATTTAATATAAAATTATGGAGATGATTACTACTCATATAAATAAAACCTTAACTGAGTAGTCTTTATTTTAGATAAAATAATTTAAAATATACGATGAAATCAAACATAAGAATGGACTCAAGGCTATGTGTGAAAGAAAGACCTATGTGATCTTTTTACCGGGGGCATATATATAT